GCCCCTGAGATATTGGAACACTGCTATCATGTCCCCCCTCGTCCTTCTCTTCATTAAACTAGACATACCCAATTCCAGCAACCGTTCCTTATATGCTTTAGCCTCCAGTCCCCTAATCATCTTTGTTGCTCTTCTCTGTACTCTTTCTAGAGTCTCAACATCTTTTTTACATCGTGGTGACCAAAACTGGATGCAGTATGCATCTAGGAAAGGATTTTGAAACTATTTACCTTGATTCCAACCACTATGCCCTTGTCCTTGATGACAGCTGGGAAGAGTTTTCCAGTGTTGTCCTTCTGATAGAGGGTCTCATGGAAGAAAATAACTCCCCCAATCTGTTGATTGATGGTTGGGTCGGAAGAGAAGAGAATATCACGGAACTGACGGCGATTTTCTTCTGTATTCTCCACGTTGATGCGTTGCAGCCTGTTGCCCATTGTCCCTATGGAGAAGGGAAAACACTAAAAGTCAGGAACTTTATGTTGGTGAATTTTATCTATAACCTATTTGTAACAAGTTTTGAAAGCTCTGCAAAAGAAGATTATAGTGTGTGCATTCATGAACAACATGCAATGATTTGTAAAATTCCATCATCTAAAGCAGGGGTCTTCAAACCTGGCCCTTTTATGACTTGTGGACTTCAACACCCAGAATTCCTCAGCCAGGCATGCCTGGCTGAGGAATTCTGGGAGTTGAAGTCCACAAGTCATAAAAGGGCCAGGTTTGAAGACCCCTGGTCTAAAGTGTGCCTAGTAATATCACCCTTTGTGGAGTATACTCCTTCAGATTACAGGCACAGAATTTAATATTCACATTTCACATCATGTGAAAATATTCTTGATAGTTATAGAAAATTGGCTAATCTTCACTCTCCTATAGGGTTAGAGGAAATTGGGATTATACTAGCAATTTTTGATTAGAAAATGCACATGTTCTATCCTTGGCCTGCAGCCTGAAAGTGTGCAGACTAGGGAAAGCAGGGGGAGATTAGAAAAGATTTTGAAATTAATTTCCAAATGTCTTCCCTTGGCTTGTCTAAGCAACTCTGAAAATGAGCCTCATTCATCATTTATCAATGGAGCCACTAAACGTTGAATCATTCAGTACTAAAATGAATGAATCTAACCTTTCAGCCTCAAGAGAAAAGAACAAAAAGGATTGCTTGATGACACTTACCTACAGATTCATCTGCAGCTAAGATCCCTTTGCCAGTAGCAACGATCCGCTGAGCTGTGTCAGAGAGTGCCTTTTTCTGCTCCGGAGAGAGTGCTGGATACTGGTGGGTCATGGTGGCTGGAAGAAAAGATCACTCCAAACTTTGAGATACATTTATTTGGATATCTGAATAATCTTAATTTAGCAACAGCAGCATCATTATCATGGCATAAGACATTTGTGTATTTAAATGTAACAGGAAGAGGACACGTTCTCACCCACCCTGAGGTTTTCAGTCATTATATATCAGTAAAACAACAAAAACCAGTAAATAGTGGATTAAAAAAAATGTCTTCAGCTTCAAAGGGCCCTGGATTTTGGTTGAGATTCAGACAGGAACCTGGTACAGAGATGTCATCGGGCACATTTATGGTGATCTCTAGAGCAGTGGTTCTCAACCTTTTTAATGCCGCGACCCCAACCGGTCGTAAGTCGAGGACTAAACCGGTCGTAAGTCGAGGACTACCCAACCGGTCGTAAGTCGAGGACTTTCCCTGCCCGGGAGCGCCGCGCATGCGTGGTTCCGCCCCCTGCGCCGGCCGAGGCGTAGCTGGCAAGCGGCAGAGACGGAGCAGGCCGACCA